AGGGGCAAATGTCTAGCCACATCGACCGACGCGACGCTCTCTCACCGTTCATGCAAAAATATAGATATATATCTATATATAATATATAATATACAGGAATTTTTGTACACGCATCCAACCTTTTCACTTCCTACGCGTCATTTCCTGCAGTTTGCGTTTCATCTATATACTCTCTATACATATATATTTCCGGCATATATCGACGTGTACTATATGCTCGTTTATTTTATACCGGAAGGACCTTATCATTTCTCGTTCGTCCTAAATCTCTCGTTTTCTTCATGCAAATATATACACAGTGAAAAAATAAAAGAATAAAAGAAAAATGATGAGAACTGATGTAGGATATGTGATATTTTCAATAAATATATGAACGAACTTCTTTCTATATACTCAAAGGTATATATGTAAATTTCAATAATTTATTAGAGTAAATCTAGTGTTACAAATTATAATGGATTGTATATAAGTTTTGATGATTATAACTTCCAACGATTGTAAGTTTCAATAATTGTAACTTCCAATGATTGAAATTACTTCCAAATATTGTAAGTTTCAATGATTGTAAATTTTAATAATTATAACTTCCAATGATTGTCATTTTCAATGATTGTAACTATACTTCCAATGATTGTAACTTCAATGATGGTAACTTCCAAAGACTGTAAGTTTCAATCATTAAAAGTTAAAGTAATTGAAACTTACAATCATTAGAAGTTACAATCATTGAACCTTTTACAGTATATATAAGGTTATATCTTATAAAAAAATATAAATCAATTTTTATATTGACATTATTTTCGATTTCATTTGTGATTGAAAAAAATAAGGAATTATCATTATTATATAAACGAATGATTTGATATTAATGTATATATTCCATACTTATATATATATATATATATATATATATACCTTAAAAAAAAGCGCCTGAATTATTGTCTTTTGAAACAATAGAAAACTAATAATATAATCTTGAAAATCGCATAACCAATTAGATAACAAGCTGTGTTTGTATATATATGTATTTCGGTAATGTATTTATATAAAGACCTTGAACTCTTCTATTACGTTTTCCTGATACTCATATCTGCTTTCTAATTCAATCGATTAATCACTTTACAATGATAATGCGAACGATAACAATATAATTCTCATATATATATATAATAGGCGCCTGAAGAAGCATATTCTCTCTCTGTATATAATACTTTCACATCGATGAGAGTTTCTCCTCCATTCATATTGCAACAATCGACACAGAAATTGAAAACGCTCATCATCAATATATATATATATATATATATATATATATATTCCTTGACAGAATATTTTCAATTATCATTTTTTTTAGTTTCAATTTTTCTTTCTATAGTTGACATTAGATGTCCTACTTTTAATCAATCAATTTTGTTTTTTATAATTTACTCCTTTTTCCACCGTCCGTCCTAGACTCGTACGGTTACCATTGCAACAGTTATCATAGCAACCGTTTCCGTAACCATAGTAACCGTTTCCATAGTAACTGTTGACATAGTAACTAACTGTTACCATAGTAACTAATGCCATAGTAATTGTTACCATAGTAACTAATGCCGCAGTAACTAATGCCGCAGTAACTAATGCCACAGTAACTAATGCCACCGTAACGAATGGCATAGTAACTAACTGTTACCATAGTAACTAATGCTATATAGTAAATAATGCCACAGTAACTAAAGCCGCAGTAACTAATGCCACCGTAACGAATGGCATAGTAACTAACTGTTACCATAGTAACTAATGCTATATAGTAAATAATGCCACAGTAACTAATGCAGCAGTAACTAATGCAGCAGTAACTAATGCAGCAGTAACTAATGCCGCAGTAACTAATGCCGCAGTAACTAATGCCACAGTAACTAATGCCGCAGTATCTAATGCCACAGTAACTAATGCCGCAGTAACTAATGCCGCAGTAACTAATGCCGCAGTATCTAATGCCACAGTAACTAATGCCGTACGTAGTAACTAATGCCGCAGTAACTAATGCCATAGTAATTAATGCCATAGTAATTAATGCCGCAGTAACTAATGCCGCAGTAACTAATGCCGCAGTTACTAATGCCACAGTAACTGTTACCATAGTAACTGTTGCCATAGTAACTGTTGCCATAGTAACTAATGCCATGGTAACTAACTGTTATCATAGTAACAGTTATCATATCAACCGCTTTTATGGCTTCCGTTACCAAAGCAACCGTTACTAAGGAATCCGTTACTATAGAAACCGTTACTACGACAATGGAGGCGCCATGTGCCTTTTTCATATATTTTTATATTATTATTATTATATTATTATTACACTGCTCCAAGCGGAAAAACATATACGTAAGTGACATACGTGTCACTTATACTTATGTTTTTCCCGTTTTTAAAGCAAATATATTTTTATTATATTTATAATAAATTATTATAATTTTTATTTTTTAAAGAAAAAAAAAATTTTGGTTGAATTTAATTAAATTTTTATTATAAAAAATTGTGTATATATTTGTTCTCGAAAGAGATTAGGGGTTTGGAAGGATAAGGGGAAATAATAATAATTTAATATTATAATGGAGGTTTTTGCATAATAACGTTTATTAAAGAAGAAACTATTAAATATATATATATTTATATTTTCCGTGGTATTTCGAGGTCCATTGAAAGATCAAGATGATTTTCGCCTTGGTAAAAAATGATTCTGCAATATCACGCTCTCGTGGAGCAAAAGCGATTCTTCTCACGGTGTTATGACACTCTCCACTTGCGATTGTCATGAAAACGATCGCGCATACACCTCCCGCGATCAGCCCCCAAGCACTCTCGCGCGAGGAGCGGCATATTATAACAACAATTTTCCCTTCTAATCGTCGTCGCTTTTTATTCTCTCTCTCTCTTTTTTCCTTCCTATTTCTTATTATTTGCACGTCCGAATTTTTTTTTTCCAATTATTTAATAATAATAAAATTTATTATTTATAGATAATTAATGTAATACAATAATTTAACTATTATTTTTTATTAATTTATAGTGTACCGAAAGTTCAAAGGCGAAAGAGATGAACTATAAATAATAATAATTAATTTATAAATAGAAAATTATTTTTTATAATTTTTTTGTATTCTATTTTTATAATATAATTTCTCTAAACAAACGAAAAAACAAAACCACAAAAAAATTGCCCAACTGCAAGATTGTACAATTTTCCGATAAAATTAAGAAACAACAGTTTCCTACTTTAAGACAAAAAAAAAATAAATTATTCTCATTACAAAATATTTGTTAGACATTAAGAAACATGGCTGTTATTAAATAATAGGTAAAATAATATTTAATTCCAAGAAGCATATTGAAAAAAAAAATTTATATATATTCTGAATATATAAAATTGTTTATATATATATGTATATATAAAAGAATTTTGCATCACTTTCAGTGTGTGACACACACGACGTTTGTATAATGACTTGCCTTCCGTTTTGCGGTATATAAAGAAAAGTGAGTGAAAAAAAAAAAATAAATAAATAACAGGCAAAAGAGAGAAAAAAAAAATTGAGTTCTCCAATGAGAGCTCCGCGGCGATAGCGCGTAGTCGCGGAGAGGAAGTGAAAGCCGTATAGTCTCTCTCCTTGACCCACTGTAAAGTTTCTGCCTTCCTTTCAGGCAGTGCCACAACACCACCACCACCACCACCTCACACAGTGCGCGTGGTACTTGTCAGGTTCATTAAGCAATTTCTCAACTTGCCTTTTAATCATACCTTAAATGAATGAGGGAGATGAGGAACTGTTATATATATATAACACAAGCAAAAAATTTATTCACAGAAATTTGAATTAGTAAAAATTTTCTTACAGTTCAATTTTACTAATTCCAAGGCAAAAAAAATAACTAGATTTTTTTAAAAATTAATTTAAAGGATTTCTTCCTTAGCAACCGTTACCATAGTAACCAGAGTAACCGTTTTCATAGTAACCGCATTTCCATAGTAACCTTTTCCACAGTAACTAATGCCGCAGTAACTAATGCCGCAGTAACTAGTGCTGCAATAACTAATGCCGCAGTAACTAATGCCGCAGTAACTAATTTCGTAGTAACTAATGCCGCAGTAACTAATGCCGCAGTAATTAATGCCGCAGTAACTAATTTCGTAGTAACTAATGCCGCAGTAACTAATGCCGCAATAACTAATGCCGCAGTAACTAGTGCTGCAATGACTAATGCCGCAGTAACTAATGCCGCAGTAACTAATGCCGCAGTAACTAGTGCTGCAATGACTAATGCCGCAGTAACTAATGCCGCAGTAACTAGTGCTGCAATGACTAATGCCGCAGTAACTAATGCCGCAGTAACTAGTGCTGCAATGACTAATGCCGCAGTAACTAATGCCGCAATAACTAATGCCGCAATAACTAATGCCGCAGGAACTAATTTTGCAGTAACTAATGCCACGGTAACTAATGCCGCAGTAACTAATGCCGCAATAATTAATGCCGCAGTAATTAATGCCGCAGTAACTAATGCCGCAGTAACTAATGCCGCAGGAACTAATTTCGCAGTAACTAATGCCACGGTAACTGATGCCGCAGTAACTAATGCCACAGTAACTAACTGTTGCCATAGTAATCGTTTCCATATAATAACCGTGGCCATAGTAACCGTTTTCATGGCTTTCGTTACTATTATGGCAATTGTTACTATGGCAACCGTTACCAAATCAACCGTTACTAAAGCAACCGTTACCAAATCAACCGTTATTAAGGCAACCGTTACTATAGCAACAGTTGCTAAGGATAATAAAGTAACCGATTAAAAATTATCATTTTTAATCATTATTATTTTTATTATTGTTTTTATTATTATTTTTATTATTATTGTTATTATGGTTATAAATAATAATAATTTTTTTTTTAAATAATGAGTTGAAAAAAGTGTTTTCTCTCCTTTTTTAATAAATCTTTTTTTTATTGTTGCAGTTGACACGAGGGAAATACAGCCTCATGACACGGGAGAGAAGGAAGCACTTGGTTTAGCCCCTGTTAAGGCTGAGCCTGGATCGACGACAGGAAATCGTCTTCTCCATGGTATCCTCTCCCAGCATTCTCAGCAACATTCGTTGGGTGTGCAAAATGGTTATGGCCGGCATATGGCCAATCATTCTCAATTGGGTCAACCACCCTACACTGCCTCAATTGCAAACAATAGTACTCCAGGTAAAAACGTTCTCTTTCATTTACAAAAAAAAAAAAAAAAAAAAAAAATTAAGATAATTATCAATTTTAATTAAATTAATTATTATTTAACCTAATTATTAATTGAATCAATTATTATTTGACCTAATTATTAATTAAATTAATTGTTTATTGAATTAACGATTAATAATATTAATTTTCAAATTAATAATTAAATCAATTATATTAATTAATTAAATTATTATAATAATTGTTTATTAATTCAATTAATTAATTTTAAATCGTTATTGTTATATATGGAAGTTATAATAATCTTCGATACTTTCAATCACCGGAAGTTACATAGATTTTTTAAAATACACACACCGCAATTACCAGAAAAAGCATCTTCCGATAGTTTATCAAACACCCATAATGAATTATCAATAAAAGAACATCGAACAATATATCCCCATTTTCTCAGAATTTTACGCTCGAGTAATTAATATTAATCTTTTTTTTTTTTTTTCTAAATTCGCGCGGTGAACTTGATTTTCATTGTTGCGAATACACTCTATAAAAGAGAAGAAAGTTGTGAAATCGAACGAAAGTAGTTTCCCAATTATTAATAATATTCAATTTTTTTTTTTAAGTTTCTTGGAATGAATTTCTTATTTTTTAAAAAATCAATAAGTAAATAAATTAAATATTAAATATATTTGAAATATATTATTAAATATCAATTAAATATTAAAAATATTTGCAAATTTTCGTAGGCAACAAATTTTTATTTAGCCGAATTAGTAGAATTTATATTTAAGGCGGTTCAATTATAACATAACCTTAAAAAATAAAAATTTATTTTTATTGACAAATAAAACTAGAAATAAATAACATTTGCTAAATATCGAGTTTTAATTTTTAGATATAGTTTTTTTTTGCACTGATAATTTTATTTTTGAGGTTATGTTACAATTGAACTGCCTTAAATATAAATTCTATGAATTAGGTTAATTAAAAATAGTTCCATACAAGAATTTTCATATAAAAAAGTGTCGCTGATAAAAAAAAAATGTGCACAAGTTTCAAAATCGCAACGTTTAAAAGTCATTTGCAGGCTCTTTAAAATGAATACAAAGAATAAAGAAAATCAATTTCTGCAGGAGTAAGTTTAAAGCTCTCATCGCGATGAGAATTTTAATGCTCCGCATATAATCTCTGTACTTATATATATATATATAAAATATATATATTGGACTCGTGCAAAAAAAAACCCTTGAGGACAGGTTTAAGCGACGTTTAAGCTCAGTACCGTGGGAAGTCGAGTTTTAATATGCATACCCAATGACCGGATGACCTTCGCAAAAGTTGCATAAAGATAGCTTTAATTGACGTTGCACAGAGAACACGTTCCATTTTTTTTTTTTTTTTTTGAACGTTCGATATAGCGAAAAATGAATTATATATATATATATATATATGTATATATCGCGCTCTCAAAAAATAAGGCTAAGAAGTTAAAAATTATAGGTTATGTTTCCTGCATACATGGGGGCGCATGATTGTCCCATAAAAATTATTAGAATTTTCATTTTTAACGATTTTATTAGATAAAAATTAATTTTTAGACGAATTTTCATTTTTTGAATTAACATAATTGTCGGAATATCTTTTTTTGAAGAATTTTTAATTAACAGAATTCTTATGTATTGAATTTTTATTAGAATTCTTAAAACGCCGAATTTTTATTTGTCCGAAATTGCAAATGGCCGAATTTGTTACTTTTGTTACATTTTAGGGGTAGAAGTTACTTTTTTAGGGTTTCTATTAGGGTTTTAAGTTACTTTTTAGAGTTAGAAGTTACTTTTAAGGGTTTACAAATTATTTTATAGGGGTTTATGTTACTTTTTAGAGTTAGAAGTTACTTTTTTAGGGTTTCAAGATACTTTTTAGGCTTTTCATGTATTTTTTATGGTTTTAAGTTACTTTTAACCGTTTACAAGTTATTTTTTTGGGGTTTTAGTTAATTTTTAGGGTTTTGAGTTCCCTTTTAAGGGTTTAAGTAACTTTTTAGGGTTATAAGTTACTTTTTAGAGTTAGAAGTTACTTTTTTAAAGTTTCAAGATACTTTTTAGGGTTTTCGCATGTATACTTTTTTAAGGTTTTAAGTTACTTTTAATGGTTTGAAAGTTATTTTTTGGGGGGTTGTAGTTAATTTTCAGGGCTTTGAGTTACTTTTTTAGGGTTTAAGTAACTTTTTAGTTATTCAAATTACTTTTTTAGGTTTAAAAGTTATTTTTTAGGGTTTTGAGTTACTTTAAAGGTTTACAAGTTGCTTTTTTAGAATTTCAAGATACTTTTTTAGGTTGTAAGCAACTTTTTAGAGATAGAAGTTATTTTTAGGGGGTATACAAATTATTTTTTAGGGGTTTATGTAACTTTTTACCGTTAGAAGTTACTTTTTTAGGGTTTCAAGATACTTTATAGGGCTTTTATTTACTTTTTTAGGCTTTAAAGTTACTTTTTAATAGATTTAAGTTACTTTTTAGGGTTTTAAGTTACATTTAATGGTTTACAAGTTATTTTTTAGGGTTTAAGTTACTTTTTAAGGTTAGAAGTTACTTTTTTAGGATTTCAAGATACTTTTTAGGGTTTTTATTTACTTTTTTATGCTTTACAGTTACTTTTTAATAAGTTCAAGTTACTTTTTAGGGTTAGAAGTTACTTTTAATGGTTTACAAGTTGTTTTTTAGGGTTTAAGTTACTTTTTAAGGTTAGAAGTTACTTTTTCAGGATTTTAAGAAACTTTTTAGGGTTTTTATTTACTTTTTTATGCTTTACAGTTACTTTTTAATAGGTTCAAGTTACTTTTTAGGGTTAGAAGTTACTTTTAATGGTTTACATCTTATTTTTTAGGGTTTAAGTTACTTTTTAAGGTTAGAAGTTACTTTAAGGGTTTCCAAGTTACTTTTTTAGAATTTCAATGTTTTTTTTAGGGTTTTCAGTTACTTTTTAGGGATAGAAGTTACTTTTTTAGGATTTTGAGTTACATTTTAGAATTCTAATAAAAAATTCAATACATAAGAATTTTGTTAAGAAAAAAATTTATTTAAAAGCGAAATCCAGCAACAAATGTTAATTTGAAAAATATAAATTCGTCTAAAAAATAATTATATTATCTAATAAAATTCTTTAAAATTTTAACTAATGATTTTTATGGGATAATTATATGCGCGTTCCCCGCAAATAAGAAGGGAAAATTGAATCTTTAATTAAAAATAAAAAAAAGAAGTGTTTTCTTTTTACTTTTATTAAAATAATCTCTAATTCAAAAATGATCTACTTTTAATCAAAAACTATCATAAACATAACCTATAATTTTTTGCTTCTTTTTCTTCGAGAACGTTCTTCATTGCGCTGTAGGAAAAAAAAAATATATATATATATATGCGTGTAAATATTTATACACATATATATGTATGTGTGTCTTTTCCAACTTCTTGGAGATATATACGTGTGTTTTAATGCCAAATGAACCAACCCAAGCGAAACCAACGTTGATTTCACAATTTCACTTCCAGGATACGCGCGCGAGGATCTTACTATATATATACAACAAATGGAAAAGTCTCGAGAAATTGCTAATTTACGACCCACTGAATGAACACCTTTACCAACTACTATACCAACTTCCGTAGATTAAGTCTTGAAAAATAGAAAATATATACAAAGAAATTGTGGCATAGTGTTGATATTTTCTTGGATTTCACTCAATTTTCTTTTTTTTCCTTATTATAAATATTTTTATATTTTGTGTCTCGTAATATTTTTTTTTTTTTTTTTACTTTCTTGTCCTCATGAAAATTGGGAGAAAAGTTTTTACGCATTTTTTTTTAGTAAAAATTAATTTTTTAAATTAATTTATAAATTTTGATTTTTTCTTTCTATAATTTAATTTTTTACCATTATTGTTTTTTAATTTTTTTTAGGACTTTTATTTACTGCTTTTCTTCGTATTAAAGGAGGTATTCTTATACTTTTTGTTATAATTTCAATGGGTTTAAATTTTTATTTTTTTCTAATAATTCATACAAATTAATTATTTAAAAATATAATTTAAAATATAATCAATTTTGGTTTAATGTCATTTTAAAATAAATATAATTTTCAATTATTATTTGACAAATTTTTTTTTTTTTTATGAGGAAATGAGAATGTTTAAAAATTTTAAATAAAAAGATTTATTAATTATTATTAATAGAAATAATTTATGCAAATGAGAGTGAACTAATGAAATTTTCTGTTTTTGTGTTTTTTTTTCGGAAAAAATCTATGGAAAAAAAAATGATTGCCAAAAAAAAAAAACAAAAACAGGAAGCGGATCACTGCCAGCAAGTCCAGCGGACAGCGGAGTCAGCGACGTTGAGTCGAGCACATCCTCTGGCGGTAACGAGGACGCGAATCTCCTTTTAAAAGCAAGACTCAATCCAAACTCGTCCCTCCAGCCGAGTATTGCATCCTCTCATCACTCTCACCTGACAGCAGGTGAGTACTGCACTATATTGTATATGCATGCATAAATATAGATTTAAGAGAAAAACTATGGGCAATTAATTTCTAAGCTTATTTCATCAAAACTATAAAAAAAACAAAAAAAAATATATTATTTTTATATGGTTATAAGTTACTTTTAGAGTTTTAAGTTACTTTTAGGGTTTTAAGTTAGTTTTTTAGGGTTTTAAGTTACTTTTTTTGGGTTAGCAGTTACTTTTAAGGGTTACAAGTTACTTTTTTAGGGTTTTATGTTACTATTTAGGGTTAGAAGTTACTTTATAAGGGTTTTATTTACTTTTTTAGGCTTTAAAGTTACTTTATAAGGATTTTATCTTACTATTTAGGGATAGAAGTTACTTTATAAGGGTTTTATGTTACTATTTAGGGTTAGAAGTTACTTTATAAGGATTTTATCTTACTATTTAGGGTTAGAAGTTACTTTATAAGGGTTTTATCTTACTATTTAGGGTTCGAAGTTACTTTTTTGGGGTGTTATGTTACTATATAGGTTTAGAAGTTACTTTTTTGGGGTCTCAAGATAATTTTCAGGGTTAAAAGTTTATTTTTAGCATTTACAAGTTACTTTTCTAGGGTTTGAAAATACTCTATAGGTTTAATTTACTTTTTTAGGGTTTTGAGTTACTTTTTAGGGGTACAAGTTACTTTTAGGGTTTTAAATTACTTTTTTAGGGTTAGAAAATACTTTTAGGGTTTTCAGTTACTTTTTAGGGTTAAAAGTTACTTGTGGGGGTTTAGAAGTTACTTTTTTTGGGTCTCCAGATATTTTTCAGGGTAAGAAGTTTATATGAGCGTTTACAAGTTACTTTTCTAGGGTTTTTCCACATACTCTATAGGTTTTAATTTACTTTTTTAGAGTTTACAAGTTAGTTTTTAGGGTTTTGAGTTACTTTTTAGGGGTAAAAATTAATTTTTAGGATTTCAAGATACTGTTTAGGTTTTAAATTTACTTTTTAGGGTTAGAAGATAATTTTAGGCCTTTAAAGTTATTTTTTTAGGGTTTTATGTTACTATTTAGGGTTAAAAGTTACTTTTTAGGGTTTTAATTTACTTTTTTTAGGGTTTTTAGTTACTTTTCTGGGGTTTCAAGATAATCTTTAGGGTTTTAATTTACTTTTTTAGTGTTTTAAATAACTTTTTAGGGTTAGAAGTTACTTTTAAGGGTTTACATGTTACTTTTTTAGGGTTAGAAGATACATTTAAGGATTTTAAATTACTTTTTAGTGTTGGAAGTTACATTTAAGATTTTTTAAGGTACTTTTTTAGACTTTCAAGACACTTTTTAGGGCTAGAAGTTATTTTTTAGGGTTAAAAGTATTTTTAATTAGTTTATATGTTATAGTTTTAATAATTTCAAAATAATTTTTAGTGTTAAGGATTACTTTTAAGGGTTTACAATCTATTTTATAGAGTTTACAAGGTACTTTTTAGGTTAACAAGTTACATTTAGGGTTAACAAGTTACTTTTTAGGGTTAGAATTTACTTTTAATGGTTTACAAGTTTCTTTTTTATGGTTTCAAGTTATATTTTAAGGTTTTAAGTTACTTTTTCAGGGTTTTTATGTTACTATTTAGGGTTAAAAGTTACCTTTAAGTCTTTACAAGTTATTTTTTAAGTTCATAAGTTAATTTTGAGGACTTTCAGTTACATTTTAGAGGTTTAAGTTACTTTTTTAGTGTGTATCACACTTTTTAGGGTTTTAAGTTACTTTTCAGGGTTAAAAGTTACTTTTTAGGGTCAAAAAATTATTTTTTATGGTTAAAACTCACTTTTAAGGATTTACAAGTTTCTTTTTTATGGTTTATATTTTAAGGTTTTAAGTTACTTTTTTAGGGTTTTTATGTTACTATTTAGGGTTAAAATGTTACTATTTAGGGTTGAAAGTTACTTTTAAGTCTTTACAAGTTATTTTTTAAGTTTGTAAGTTAATTTTGAGGACTTTCAGTTACATTTTAGAGGTATAAGTTACTTTTTTAGTGTGTATCGCACACTTTTTAGGGTTTTAAGTTACTTTTCAGGGTTAAAAGTTACTTTTTAGGGTCAAAAAATAATTTTTTATGGTTAAAAGTCACTTTTAAGGATTTACAAGTTTTTTTTAGAGTTTCAAGATACTTTTGTTGAGTAAGAAGTTATTTTTAATGATTTTAAGTTACTTTTTTATGTTTTTTTAAGTTACTTCTTGTTGATTTAAAAAAAAAAAAAAAAAAATACTTTTTCTTATGGTCTCTAGCAGCCTTAGGAAGGTCAGCGTGTCACAGTCCGGGTGTTTATCCCTCAACGACGGGATTTTTGCCACCGTCATTTCATCCCCATCAACATCATCCGTCACAGTATCATCCTCACAGAGGCAGCTCACCACACCATCAACACAGTAATCATGGAATGGGACCCTCCATGGGACCTCCACACCATCACCACCTTCATCAACCTCCAAATTTGCAACATTTACACTATCGTCAGCCACCTTCATGTGAGTATTTTATAAATTTATCTTAGCAAATAATAAATTTTTTCCATTTTTAATTTATATTTTTTACTCTTATTCTTTTAATTCATTAAATTAATTATTCATGTAATTAATTTAATTATTTATTTAATTTAAAGAAATGAAAATAATGTCATTTTTTTTATCAATTATTTCAGCCACAATAAATAATAATAATAATATTAGTTATTACTATTGAAGGCATTGTAAAATTTTTATATAGGAAATTCATAAAAAAAAAAAAAAAAAAAACCTGCGTTATTCTGTAATCTCGCATAAACACTTTAAATTCGTGATTAGATAATAAAAAAAAAAATTATGCGTGTATGATAAGTATATATAGAATTTTTTTTCTTTTTTTCGAGGTGCATCGTTTATTAATTATTAATTACTTTTCTTATAATAATTATGTCTTTTTGAGTACAAAAATCAAATATATAAAAGTGACAGCGAGTAGCAGATGAAAACTTTTGCATATATTCAATTGCATATTTTATGAAAAAAAATTTTTTTATATTATTTATCCGCTTTTAATACGCGCAGGTGATCATTTTCAACTGAGATTCAAATCTGATTTTTCAGTTTTATTTTTATTTTCAATTTTAATTTCATTTCAATAATATATGGTGATATAATCTTTCTTTGCAGATGTTTGCAAAAAAAAATTTTTTTTCTTTTTTTTAATTAAACGCAAAAATTTAATTGGAACAAATAACATAAGTGTTTTCTTTTTTTAATTTACGTAAATATTTAATTGGAACAAAATAAAAAATAATAATTGTAAAATAAAATAGAGATAAAGTTTAAAAAAAAAAAATAAACATTAACATTAAGTAAAATAGTTGAGGGAAAAAAATCTTTATTTGGAACAGCGATATATTTCATTGAAACAGCGAAATTTTTAGCTATTCGAGAGAAACATATAGCTGTTTTAAATAAATTTTTTTCATGGTAAAATAGTATAAAAAAATTCGATATTTAAAAAAAAAAATATAATTTTCTGGACATTTTTTTTTTTTTAAATTAATACTCCTTGCGTAAAAAATCAGGTCGATTGAGATAAAATGAACAAATTTAAAAACGCCACGCATATAAAAGAAAAAGTGAAAGTATATCTGGGGCAAAAGTTGATTATCGAAATTGAGAGAGAAAAAAAAAGACATCGCACGACAAACTGATATTGTGTTATATCAATGAATTCATGTAATCGTAAACAAATAATAAAAAAAAAATTTCTAAATCGTATATATCAATTAAAAAAAAATATATATATATATATATATATATATATATATAAATTCTTCGACAAGTTGGAATATGTTTGCTCGTGACCCAGTTCTTGTCATCGGTATCGACAACCTAGATTCACTTCCTCCAACTTTTTAAGAAAAAAAAAGAAAAAAAAAATCGAACGAATAGGAAACCCTTTAGATTTTTTAACAACGTCGATTAGACTTTCCTCTGTTCTATTTTTTCTTCAATACAATTGAGACCTCCAATCTTAAGAGGATTCACCCAGAAAAAGAAAAAAAAATTTTTAATCCCCTAGGACACTTGAATTTATTGGGACGCGACTCAGTTTTTAAAATTATTAAATTATATTTTCATTTCACATTATTCTTATAAGAATTTTATTTTGACAAATTCTATTTAATAATTCTGATTAAGTAAATTAACATAACCTCAAACTATAAAAAGTAGTTTTATAACAAAACAAAAAATAAAATTTCAACTTCAAAAAAAAAAAATTTTTAGTTTGAATTAAAATAATATTAATTTTATTTGTAGTTAAAAACAATTTTTTAGTTTGAGGTTATGTTAATGGACTAGTACTTAATATTTTCTTAAATTTTTTTTAACAAAACTAAAAATATATTTAAAATTACAACTTCAAAAAAAAATTATTTTGAATTAAAATAATATTAATTTTATTTGTAGGTAAAAAGAATTTTTTAGTTTGAGGTTATGTTAATGGACTAATTCTTAATATTTTCTTAAAATAAAAATTTCTATTTGAAAAAAAAAATCGAAAAATTAAAAAATTGAATTTAAAAAATAAAAAAAAATTAACATTTGCTCAAAATTGGAAAAGAAAGGAAATGAAAAGAAAAAAAAAAGAAAAGGAAAAATCGAGGAAAATTTTCACTTTCCAGTGGCTAATGTGGAATTAAAACGGCGCAAATAGAGACATGTAATTTTTTTTTTTTTTTTGCACTCGCGAGCAACTATACGGCCTCAATTTGCAAGTAGCGCGTATTAAAATCGCGCGCTTTTAACATTTATATGTTGTTATTATTATTTTTATTATTATTATTATTATTATTAATGCTGGCCAGAATATGATGGTGAACGCGCGCTGTGTGCGCAGCACATATATTCAACAGAGCAACGAGTAAAAGTGTGCCGGATTGTATAATCGAACGTGAATAAGCAAAATGTTACGCCATACCGATTTGGTAACGGGTAGAGCGAGACCCTCTATATATATATATATATATATGTATAGCGTTCCCAATGCCGCTCCGTGTGTCGTTCACAAATCGAGATTGTTTTATAAAGTTCACAAAATATATTTTTTTTTTTTTTCATCCCATATATATACAATGGAAAAAAATGTATTTGATTCAAATACTCGATTACTTGACTATTATCAAATATTTACTTGAATTAAATAAATATTTACTTGAAATAAATAAATATTTATTTAAAGAAAATAAATACTTACTTGTATCAAATAAATATTTATTTGAATCAAATAATTTTTATTTGAATTAAGTAAATTGTATTTAAAACAAATACCATCTCAAATAATAATTATTTAGTTCAAGTAAATATTTATTTCATAATAGTAAAATAACCGATTATTTGAATCAAAAAAATTTTTTAATTAAAATATCTTCTTAAAATTTGAAATTACTATTCAGGGTTTGGAGTTATTTTTTAAGGAAATTTAAGTTATTTAAGGTTTTCAAAATACTTTTCAAGGTTCTAATTTACTTTTTAGGTTAACATAGTGAATTTATAAGGTTTAAAGTTACTTTTTAAAGGGTTTGAGTTGCTTTTCAGTTATTGATATTACTTTTTTAAGATTAAAAGTTTTTTTTGAGTTTTAAGTTACTTTTTTAGGTTTACTAGTTAGCTTATAGGGTTTAAAGTTACTTTTTAAAAGGTTTAAGTTACTTATTAGGTTTTCTATTTAATTTGTAGGGTTTAAAGTAACTTTGTAAAGGGTTCAAGATGGTTTTTAGGGTTCTAAGTTACTTTTTAGGTCTACTAGCTATAATTTAAGGGATTCAAGTTACTTTTTAGGTTTCCTACTTAATTTGTAGGGTTTAAAGTTGGTTTTTTAGGTTTTCTAGTTAATTAATAGGGTTTAAAAGTTACTTTTTAAAGGGTTCAAGTTACTTTTAAGATTTTCTATTTAATTTGTAGGGTATAAAGTTACTTTTTGAAGGGTTCAAGTTGCTTTTTAAGGTTTTAAGTTACTTTTTTAGGTTTTCTAGTTAATTAATAGGGTTTAAAAGTTACTTTTTAAAGGGTTCAAGTTACTTTTAAGATTTTCTATTTAATTTGTAGGGTATAAAGTTACTTTTTGAAGGGTTCAAGTTGCTTTTTAAGGTTTTAAGTTACTTTTTTAGGTTTTCTAGTTAATTAATAGGGTTTAAAAGTTACTTTTTAAAGGGTTCAAGTTACTTTTAAGATTTTCTATTTAATTTGTAGGGTTTAAAGTTACTTTTTAAAGGGTTCAAGTAACTTTTTAGGTTTCCTTAATTTGTAGGGTTTAAAGTTGGTTTTTTAGGTTTTCTAGTTAATTAATAGGGTTTAAAAGTTACTTATTAAAAGGTTCAAGTTACTTTTTAGATTTTCTATTTAATTTGTAGGGTATAAAGTTACTTTTTGAAGGGTTCAAGTTGGTTCTTAAGGTTTTAAGTTACTTTTTTAGGTTTTCTAGTTAATTTATAGGGTTCAAGTTACTTTTTAGGTTTTCTATTTAATTTGTAGGGTTTAAAGTTACTTTTGGAAGGGTTCAAGTTGCTTTTTAACGTTTTAAATTCCTTTTTGGGTTTTTTTAGTTAATTTATAGGCTTTAAAGTTACATTTGAAAGAGTTCAAGTTACTTTTTAGGTTTTATAGTTAATTTGTAGGGTTTAAAGTTACTTTTGGAAGGGTTCAAGTTGCTTTTTGAGGTTTTTGAAAAATTCAAGTTTATAATTCAAATAAATGTTTATTTGTTATTAGTCTATTGATAAATAAATAAACTATTGACAAATAAATAATAGTCAATCGCGATTATTTGAATCAAATAATTTTTTTTTTTTTCACTGTATGATATTTGAAGCGAATTTTTATTTTTGGGGGAAAAAAACTCCTATTCAATTAAAGAAAAAAAATTTTTTTGATAAGAGCTATAGGAAATAATAATAACGAAAAAAAATTTGAAGATTCACGTGCGCAAAAATACAAAGGAAATATTATTTGAAGATATATATATATATTTTTTTTTTAAGATACTTATAAAATCATATAATATTAAAAATCAATTTTTTTCACAAAAGATTTATATACAATTTGAATTATATTCACTTTGAAATGTTGGTTATAATTGGTCTTGGAAGTCGACGAAAAAAAGAGAGAGACCGGATTTTACAAAAAGGCCTTTATATAATTTTCTTTAGTGCGCCTCGAGAATTGAATTGGCTCGTTATTTACTCTTCTGGGGCCGAATTTATAATGTAGGTGTAGAATTGCGGAGTCAACGGGCTCAGTGTCAATGTTTCGAAACGTCCGTAGATTTCACTTTCGTACGAAATCGAAAGCAGTACCACATATATATATATACATATATATATATATATATATATATATATATATATATATAAATATATACACAACTGAAACATATACATATATAATAAAAAAAACAGTAAATTTTTTTTTTAACGTAATCAAATTTCGATAAATATAAAATAAAAGAAAACGAAAAA